TTGCCCATCATCATGCATGAGACTCTGGCGGCAATGGGCAGCTCCTTCAGTGACCGGCTGCTTCACCCCAAGTGTGTGAAGGAGGCTATCGCAGGTCCTTCCTTCCTGCTGCTGTTAGACTGTACAACCAGGACTGCTCCCAGTAGAACCTCCTCCACCCCCCATTAGACCTCACACACCTACAGAACATTAACAGTGAATTCATCACCACTTACTGTGTGCAATATAATCAACACTCCATGTGGAATATTTTTAAAATATCTCTATAGTGTAAAGATTTTTTGCTTGTCTATATGTAATGTTTATATCATTAACTCCTCACCATCCCATGTGTAACATAAACCAGTACCTCATGTGCAAAACTCTATGTGAAATTCAGGTAAGATATTTTGTAAATATTTTTGCTCTTATTTACTTATAATCCTTTATATTGTTAATTATTGTGAAGGAAAGAGTTTATATGTTTATCTTATTTTTTACTTTTAGTATTATATATATATTGTCTATAAAGTAACAAACTGTAAAAACCTTGTTAAGTAATAAAGGTTAATTACTCGTTTGTTAATTCTCTTCTTGTTACTCTTCTCTTGAGTGTCCTGCTCTCCCTTTGCTGCTGTAACACTGTGAGTTTCCCCGCTGTGGGACTAATAAAGGACTATCTTGTCTTATCTTACCCAAATGCATCAGCTCCCGGAGCAAGATGACAACATGAGTTGCAGCAGCCACTGAAACTAAACTTTGCGCTGCCTCTGCAACCAAAATAAAAGGCTACATCGATTAACATAAGTAAGCTTTGCATGTATCACCCTATTAGCTGTACTACAGGGATGCACTGTAGAAAGACAGCAAACGAGTAAACATTTGCTGATTTACTGTAAATGTGGCTGTCCTGTTAATTCTCTTCTGCGGCTCCTTAGCTTCCTCTTTATGTGATGGATGGATGTCATACCCCTATCCCACCTCATCCCTGACCCTTCAATGGTTTTTCATCGGATCATTTAGTTCTGGTGTCTTGACCTGGCCTGGACCTGCTCTACAGTAAATTACAGTTTGCTCACACAGTTTTGCACAAGTTTGTCAAACAGAACCTTTTTGCATTATGATACAGTTCATGTGATCCTAACACAAGGTCTGCAAGGAATATCTCACAGGTTTCGTTCTTTACAACTGAGTCTAAAACCAGGGCTGATCTTGTATCTGCAGTGATCATTGACCATTTTCTGAAACTTCAATGCTTCAGTCATGTTAGCACTTTAAACAGGCAGTTCCCCCCAAAAATACCTGCTGCCCTGCCTGTTTTAGAGTCTCCTGCTGCTGAGTACTGATTCTGAACGGGTGTAACCAATAACTCACTCCATAGGGATGTTTACAGCTTCTGGTTTGAACTGAATGCTCAGTTCATTTCATTTGAAGTTGTAGCCTTATATTCTGTAAATATTTTGTTTAATTTTATTAAGAGCCATAATATAAATAAGCATGGCGCTTTCTAATGGGAGAAATCACAGTAATAGCTTTTCGAAATGTTTACTTCAAGGACATTTTGAAAACAAAAAGGAGCAAAGAAGTCAATGGATCGTCACATAGATCAAGTGCCTTCATCCAGTATATATCCAGCATAAACCGCCATGTTTGCAACTGTCACGCATTCGGCTAGTCAACCAATGAACTACAATTCCCAGAATCCTCCACCTGCTCACATGACTCTTAACTTCACTTCCCAGATTCCTCTGCATACTCATGTGACTCCGGAAAGGTCATCAGGCCTATCACCGCTCAAGTTCGCCTGAGTATTAATGATGTTCACCTGTGGGTTTCTGTCATATGACTTACCTAGCTAGTATTTTAGCCCGGGCTACAGTTAGGATCGTTGCGAGGTATTGCTTTCCATTGTGAAACGACTGAGCGGTCTTCCTGTTGTGATTTATCGTGTATGACCGTTTGCTTACCCTTTTTCTCGTTGACTCTGTTTTTGGATTTGCCCTTCTGTACTGTTGACTGGTTTCTTGGATTTTCGGTTTTGACTATTCGCATGTATTTTGGACTTTGCTCTGTTTTTTCCCTTGTCGGTTATGGTCGCCTTGTGTCTTCTGTTGTTTACTTTGGAAATGACCCACGCCTGATTTTTGACGACGTTATACTTGCCAGAATCCCCAAGTAAAACTTATTTTGTGTTTTACATCCGTGAGCATCTGCTTACTGGTCAAACGTTACAGCAACCATGTGCATTCTTCCTCACAGCAGGTAAACAATACAACTCACTTTTCGTGTAATGCTGATGATGGTAAAATAGGGGTAAATCAGAAAAAATACATTTTATTTGAGTATTAATTTGCCTTTTAATCCATGCCCTGCATGTACCACTCCGTCATGTATTTATTTAGGCCAAAATTTTATCCTAAAACTATCTTCAGACAAGACAGGTGTATCCATAACTGTATGGACCTTCTGTGAATTAGCTAATAAGGCCGTTACACAACAAACAGGACATGAACAAACGGCATAAAATTGCAAAATATTTCAAAGTGATTTCTTTGCATCAAAACTACACCAAAACTATACATGATGGCTTCTATTATAAGCATTTTGTGTCAAATGGTTGTCTGCTCCTTTGTAAGTACAGGAAAAGCATTGGGACAATCCCTGTCCATGCAATCAGCCGTATGCTACACCAGCAACACAAAGATTAGGTGTACACTGGCGTATACCTTTACAGCTAAGGGAACATAGTGAGTGCGAGAATTACATATAACCTAGCAAAGCATACCAAGGGCACATTCACATAATTGGATGCTCCAAAAGGAGAAGCTATAAGTTGACCTGAAAACCATAGATGACCATGGAGAGAGTGAAGATGTCAGGGAAATAATGATGGGTGCTGCATCGTTCTGTAGGTTAGGCATTAAGGGGAGAAGATAGTACAGCCCCTCACAGGCCTCATTTGTGCCTCATTTGCACCTCATTGGTGAACAGCATGCAAAAAAAAACACCAACATACATGGCAGACAGGGGAAGGGGACAGTATTAGGGGTCACTGTAACCTCTTTCTCTCTCCTTTCGCTGTGTCCCACACACACAGTGACCTCAAAGTCCCAGAGGACTGCAGTCCAGTGCAACCACACTGAATTCAACTCACGCAGGTCTTGACTGACAACCTTTTAATTCTAAAAAATATTTCATCAAGGAGAATACACTACAGTACTATCATACCATAAGTATATGGACACAACTTTAACTGTAAAACGTAACACTTTGCATGTCCCGAATAGCTCTGGCAGTGTAATAGTATAGAAATATAAATGCGTTGAGCTGTGAAATGTAAAAAAGCCACACAAACTCAATTCAGACATAACCGTACCGTTTCAAAGAGGGTGGTGTTCTAAAAGTGACGGCCCAATGAAAAATCAAATTTACACAATTATCCCCTCATCCCAAATGTGGCTGATCAGCTAAGACATGTTGGGTGTCCAAAGACTTCTAATAGACTTGCTTATGTGGCGTCTGATGCTGTATGGCAACCATGACTATTATTTCTGGGTATGTCACACATTGTTGTCCATTTTCATACAGTGTTAAAAACCAAATAAGCAAGGCTGGTTGCATATACATATCGTTGTTGTTGTAAAAAAAAAATTTTATCTCCATTCGCCAGCTTCTTGTTTGAATTTTTCCGTTCCATCTTAAATGGTGCAGCTCCAGGCACCAGAAAGTGACTGCTGCACCATTTAAGGTGGAACGGGAAAATTCGAAAAAGAAGCTGGCGAATAGGAAGCCGACTTCAGCTCCGTCCTTCTTACTGTGTTTTGGGGGTTTATTTTATTTTTACATGTATTAATATTAGAAGTGATTCACTAATTGATGGATTTGCTGATGTGTCTGATTGTGTTTCTTGTGCTGGTGTTTTTATGGTCAGGTGCAGACTGAATACTTTCCTGCTGGTCTGGACGGCTAATTATCACGATCAGTTATTAAAGTAATAAAAGCTACAGAGAGCAGATCTGTGCAGTCTGGATTAATCTGTGTCTGCGGATTATAACTACACAGATTTGGTGAAAATCAGTTGAGCAATAAGGAAGTTGTGGCTGATTTAATCCTGAGACTCTTCGTCTCTCAATACAAGTGAATCTGTTCACAAGCAGATCTTGACCTCTCCAACATGGCGGACGCACCAACGTATCGCCTCAGATAGAGAACAACAGACATCTCGGCATGGATATCTGTGATTATTCTCCTAGGTGTCCTAAATGTAAAGTAGAGACAGGTAGCCTCATTCATTGTTTGTGGACTTCAAAAATTCAAATTCAAAAATTCTGGGAGGGAGATTTCACAGGAACTGTGATGTAAGGGTGGATCCATTGGGTTTACTGCTTGGGTTGCCAAATAATTATATTGCCACCAAGTTTGTATAATTCACTGTGCTATTTTTGAAACATGGGTAAAGCTTTACTCAGCATCAACATTTGTGTTTATAAGCTGAGTGTTTCTTTTACCCTCCCTTTTTTGCTGTTATGCATGTGTGATGAATTCTTCTGTTGAACAAAAACTAATAAATATAATATTAAAATGCTGTTTGCTATTTTAATATCTTTCACTAACTTCTATGCATCAGTCTTTCAAAGAAAGACTAGGGACTAGAGAAAGTTAAGGGGCAGTGTGGCTGTGTTCAGGCTTTAGCTCATTTTACTTAGGTATGACATGATGATCACATCCGTCATTAAGTTATTGCCAATTCCTCCTGGTTTACTGATGAAATGTTTTGGTTAAAGTAATAAACTTTTAAATAAATAATTAAATATTGATACATACGCCTTCAACTCTTTCAAAACTTCCCTGTCCTGACAATGGGGCAAAACAGGTACACTTAGACAGGTAACACTTCAAAGCCTCTACTAACCCTCTTTTTAATTAAAGTGCAGTTTGACAGGAACGACTGCCAAATCCCATGATATGCTCCAAAAAGCTAACTGTAATTATCTCTAGTGAAACATGAATGGAAATCCTACCTGCACTGACTCTGGCCCCAACACCAACACGTCAGGTGGATGCAGTCCGGCAGGTCTTGAGGGTCGGGTGGTCACCCTTTCCCACTGGCTGCTGTTGGAGCCGCCCTGCTTGGTGCTAGCCACCACTCGGTACTCATAACTGCCCCAGGGGCTGAGAGCCGCTGAGCTGTCCAGGTAGGTGAGCGTGTGGTTGGGCAGCACTGTGCCCACTGTAGAGATCTGCTGTGTGCCGGCAGCTCTTCTTTCCACTGTGTAGTTGTCCAGCACCCCGTTTGCCCGCACCGGTGGTTCCCAGGTCAGCAGTACAGAGGTAGGCGTGTCTGAGTAGAGCAGGGGAGCCACCACGCCTTCAGGAGGGGCCGGGGGGGTCCGGATAGTGTGGGAGTCGGAAGACAGGGTGCAACCCGCCTCTGTGCAGGCCTCCACTTGGATGGAGTAGTTCTGGTAGGGCTCCAGGCCTGAGAGGGTGAGGCTGGTGCTATTGCCAGGCACAGTGGCGCTCAGCTGGCTGTTCTGGTAGATGTTATAATGGGTCACTATGCCGTTTGGCCGTGAGGGAGGAGACCAGGAGACTGTGGCATTTCTGGAGTGGATCTCAAACAGCACGGGTGGGTCAACAGATCCAGGCCCTGAAGGACAGAAGAGAAATGCAAGAGCCAAGTAAGAGCCAGGATTATTTATACAGTTGGGTAGCAACCATCAGTTCCTATTAGAAACCAAGATATGGTGATTTGATTCTACTTAAACTGAATTATTCTGCACATTTTGACCCCTTTATTTTGCTCAATGCTTATATTATAAACAAAGCTCACTATTTTTCACACCATAACATTTACTTATTTCATTTTTTTACACCAATCTCAAGTGAAAAAAACATCTCAGGTGATGAAATTGCCCTTTTTTGCATGTCCAAGTGTGAAATAGAGGCTTTAAAGATCTTTAAGCTTTTTAATAAGAATTTGTATTTCTACAGATACTTTTTTTCTAATAATACAAATTTTCACCGGTTAAGAAGATTCAAAGTTATTGAATTCTACTACTACTAATAATAATAATCAACTTATATAGCGCTTTTCTCAAACTCAAGGATGCTTCACAATTACAAATAACAGCAAACAAAACATACACACACAAAAACAGCTGGCAGTGAGAAAGACTCTCCAGACTTCAATGAACAGTTCCCGGGCTCATGGCCCAGTCAGATTCGGTACACATGGTACCAAGCTCCAAACTCACAGCCTAGTGGTGAAATGTCCTGTAGTCAGAAGGGTCCCGACTCATGCCCCAGTCCAACTCTGCTACCACAGTGAGAAGGGTCCCGACTCATGCCCCAGTCCAACTCTGCTACCACAGTGAGAAGTGTCCTGACTCGTGGCCCAGTCCAACTCTGCTACCACAGTGAGAAGGGTCCCGACTCATGGCCCAGTCCAACTCTGCTACCACAGTGAGAAGGGTCCCGACTCCTACCCAGTCCAACTCTGCTACCACAGTCAGAAGGGTCCCGACTCATGCCCCAGTCCAACTCTGCTAGCACAGTGAGAAGGGTCCCGACTCGTGGCCCAGTCCAACTCTGCTAGCACAGTGAGAAGGGTCCCGACTCGTGGCCCAGTCCAACTCTGCTAGCACAGTGAGAAGGGTCCCGACCTGTGGCCCAGTCCAACTCTGCTAGCACAGTGAGAAGGGTCCCAACTCGTGGCTCAGTCCAACTCTGCTACCTGGTAAGTAGTGTCCTGACTCGTGGTCTACTTTTTGGTTAAACCAATTTGATGAAACTACATTCCTATGCAAACAATAATAATAATAATAATAAAATACTAATAATAAATGAGTCAAGCCCAAAATATAATGGTCCACGTCGAAAGCCTTTTGAGAATATTTTGTCTCACATTAAACACATACTGTTTAAAGCCATCAATGCTGAGTGGAACAATATTGACCTTTCTTTTCCATACAATGTTACTTTATCTGTTTGTTTAATGGTTTGTTGTTTAGACCATTAAAACCTTAACGTTTTGGCCCATTTTTTGTATGGGAGTGTAATTAAACCAGTTTTGGAGCAAAAATGCAAACTGAATGGGTAACGATCCCTAACTTCTGGAACAGAAACATTAATTTGAAATGTTATTGGTTAATAATATAATTTTTCATTTCATGTACCTCACAACCTATAAGTAAACAACAGCTCTGAATGCCCTCTGTACTGTATACTCTCAGAAGATTTTATTCATATTGCATCATGATGTGAGAAATCATTTAGCTAGCTAGCATGTCTAGGCAATTTTAAAAATCCATAACATTTCAAAGCTTGTGAGTGTCTGAATATATCAATACAAACATAACTGCTAAGTCTAACGGCTTCCTAAACCTACTATTGCATTACTGTAGTCCTACACACAGCCTATGTAACGAAATACACATCTCAAAATTCAGGAGCTTCAGGAACATTATGTTGGGGTTGGAACGTCTTAACAAAAACATGAAGTTCTGATTGGTGTCATATTTGCTGATACCGATAAACTTAGGAAAGTCAAATGTCGTCTAACAGGTCAGATACCGTGCGTCATATACACAGAACATTTCCGACATATGGATGAAGCTCTATTTCTCCAGCAGCTCTCCTTTTCCACAGTGAGGCCCTCCACACATAGATCCGCTCTGACAGCGCAGCATTGAGACTGACATCACAAGGACAAACAGTGATTGGAGCAGCCTTATTCTGTGGATTAAAATGGAGAGTAGGCGATGTGCAAATCAGCTCATTTACCCCAGAGGATGGGCCTGGCCACTGCACACTGCGGGCAAATATGAAATTATATTTATGGATTTATTCAACGGAGGTTATATGGCGACAGATATCAACTACGGCTAAGACTATGCTCTGAAGAGATTGCAGTGAATTGGAGGAAATCACTTAAGACTCCTGACTGGTCATTTTCTCTGAGTGCTTACAACAACAGCCGAGACGACCGCGCACACGCCACAAAATCCTTCATGGATCTCCAGGCTCAGACAGCTCGGGTCATTTTCATAATTACACACACACACTTGTGCTCTCTCTTTTTCTGTCACACACAGATTCACACTGATGGCAAGAGGCCTTCGTGCCAATTGTTTATGTACAGAACTGCTGCACAAGTGTGAATGTGTAGGTTATGGCAAAATGCATTTCCCTCTCATATGCATTTGAGGGTAAGATGCACAAAATGAGGGACGATGAGACAGAAAGCATGTACTGGATATCTCAAGTGCATCTATTTACATATTTTGCTCGATTTACTAACATTTAAGCAAACAGCAGCAGCCACAATTTTTGCTCTCAAGGGTACGTTGTTGGGAGACGTCCTATAACACAGTGGCTTGTTGGACATCCCATTCCAAAAACAGGGGCATTATTACAGAGTTGGCTCCCCTTTTGCGGCTATAGCGGCTTCACTCTCCTGGGAAGGTTTTCCACAAGGTTTTCGAGTGTGTTTGTGGGAATTTGTGCCCATGAAGTCAAATGTTCACACTGATGTTGGACGAGAAGACCTGGCTATCAATCGACATTGCAAATGTGTTCAGTGGGGCTGAGGTCAGGGCTCTGTGTAGGCCACACCACACTTATCAAATCAGGTCTTAATGGGCCTCACTTTGTGCACAGGGGCTCAGTCATGATGGGACAGGACATGACAGGAAAGGCTCTTCCCCAAACTGCTACCACAAAGTTGGAAGCATATAATTGTCAAGTCAAGTCAAAGTTTATTTATAGAGCACTTTTTACAGCAGGTGTCGTCACAAAGCAGCTTTACAGAAAAATCCAGATCTGAGCCCCCATGAGCGTCGCCAGTGGTGACAGTGGCAAGGAAAAACTCCCTAAGAGCAAAAGGAAGAAACACTGAGAGGAACCAAGACTCAAAAGGGGAACCCATCCTCCTCTGGACCACACCGGACAGCAAACAGCGTTAGAGTAAAATATTAGAATACAAAATGGGGAAAACAGGCGGAGCAACGGTTAATTAGATAGTTTGAGTTTATGCAGCAGCAGCATCATTGTCTAAACTGTCTCTGTGTGCTGTAGCATAAACATCACCCTTCACTGGAACTAAGAGGCTCAAACCCTGAAAAACAGTCCCGGCCCATCATCCCTCCTCCACCAAACTTCACTGTTGGCACTATGCTCTCCTGTACATATTGCTCTCCTGGCTCACCCAGATTCTTCCATCTGACTCTCAGGCAGTCAGTGTTAACACCTGGGATGCTGACATTTATAGGAGCATATGGGTGATGAATAACGTGACGCCCTGCTAAATTCTAATTATATTTTATTTTAGATTTTTTGATTCATTTGTACACCTTACATGAAACTGAATGCATCACAACATCATGACTGTGGTGAGCTGTGACAACACAGATACGCAGATACACAAAAAAGCAAAAAGCTGAGCTGAGCATCCACCAGCACCACTAATGCTGAAAGAATTATAACAAAGAAATATGATCGCAAGTAAAATTAAGAAACATTTCAGATTCTGTGCTACTTTTGTGTCACTATTCAAATTGGTTCATTTTAAAAAACAAGGCGCGCTGAAGCCTCTGTTACGAATAGTTTCATAAGATTCATATGATTAGACGGCAAAGAATGCCAATTATGGAAAAATGCTGAAATGGATTGTTATTAATAATAATAATAATAAGTTCAACTTACATAGCGCCTTTCACAAACCCAAGGATGCTTTACAAAGTGTCAAAAAAAACAAAATCTAGAAGACTACAGAGAAGAAAAAAGGAAGGTTTTAGCAGAGATCTGAAGGAAGACAAAGACGAGCAATTATGAAGAGTGGAAGGCAGAGAATTCCAGAGTTGCAGCGCTGAAAGATCTGCCACCCATAGTAGAAAGTCTAGTTGAGGGAACTGTGAGGAGTCCAGAATTAAAGGACCAGAGAGCACGAGAGGGACAGTATAATGAAAAGAAAGCAGAAAGGAATGTCGGAGCCAGAGCATGTAGAGCCTTGAAGGTAAGGAGAAGGAGTACTTAATCCTAGAACTAACAGGAAGCCAATGCAACTGCCGAAGAACAGGAGTAGGGCTAATGTTATTGTTTATTAGAAGAAGTGCACTATTATGCTCTATAATGTTCATTTGATAAACACAGACATTCTGAAATATGATAAAACATTATGAGAAGCTCTGGGTTGGCAAAAATATAGCATCACAATACTTTAAGACATTTTCACAGTACGATATGTAACACGTGGAACAGAAACACTAAAACATTAAAGTCCCACATTAAAATTCCATCAAAATATTCCTCATTAATCCCTGTTGTGGGACTAATAAGGGTCATTTAACTTAAAAACAATGAATACAGTGATTTTTATTCAACATTTCACAAAATACACTGCACTGAAATCAAGTAATGGGCTCATTTTGAAAAAGGGTCTTTTTCCTTCATTAAAAAAATACTTTATCATAAGGAAAATGAAGAAATATGCATGGTTCAGCACTATTTCTAGATCACTATTCAAAGTGTTTGAGATAATGATCATGTTAAGGCTTTTCTTCAAAAAGGTCAGATTTTCAATCTGTTGCTTCCACTGAGGTACATGTTCAGACTCTCAGGTGGATCTGATCTGCTCATCGGAGACTTTGC